TACTGGCAGGAGAACTAACAAATCTGTCCTGGAAGAAGTACAGCCAGAATGCTGTTTGGAAGGGAGAATGGCCAGACTTCATCTCACCTACTTCAGTTATGTTGTCAGAAGGGCCAATTCCCTGGAGGGGGATTTCATGGTTGGTAAAGTGGAGGGTCATCGAAAGTGGGGAAAGCCCTTTAATGATATGGATTGATACAGTGGCTGCAACGATGGGCTCAGATATACCAAGGATTGTGAGGTTGGTGCAGGACCAGGCAGTATTTTGAATCCGTGATGACTTGATGGTACCTAACAACAGCAACATAAGTCATTTGGTCGTTTTGCATTTTACTTTTGCTTGTTCTAGATGAATATTCAAGTGGCATTCTATTTAAATATGTAACTTTAAGTTTTTAGAATTTGTTATTTTTCAAGGATTTTGATTACATGTTACAATCAGAGTTCTATCACAGGAGTCACTTTTCTTTCAAATCCTTTTGATCTTTTCTTTCTATTACAAACTTTCCTCCTTGCCATCTGTTATTTTTTCTGAAACAGAATCAGTTGTGTTTATTCACACTTGTGTTCATTCTAGTTTACTCATTTCTGAAATGATTTTTTTTTAATTTATAGTTTTTTATTCTTGTATCGTCAGATACTCTCTTCATTCTTCTCCCTTTGGAGCTCCTTTTAGAGCGTGCACCTTCATAGTCTGTCATGGTTATAAGTCCTTCTTTTACTACTTAAGTGATTTTAAATGCATTTATTTCTGTTAAAGGTCTTTGGAAGTACTTTCTATTATGGATGCCTCTACATTATTAAGGATTATCGTCTTCTTTGGTTTGTAGGTTTTTAGTTGTAGTCTCATCTTCCCGCAGATGTTTTATGTTTATTTTCCTTTTCCAGCATTAGTACTGTGTGCACTGTGTTCTGGGAGTTTCTCTTTATTTGCCTTTCCAGGGCCCGTCAGCCACCCCTTGGAATTGTCACTAGCCTAGAGCTCAGTTTTCATTTTTTGCCTTGAGAGTTTGTACTATCTATGTAATTGAGTGTTAAGATTTTTAACACAAATCTTATCGCCTTTCTTCCTGAACCTAAGTTAGGAACATATTTCCATTTTGTTCTTTGTGCTGTTGGTGTTTTTATAGTTCCCCTAATACAGGAGGAGTTAACCCTTTCAGGTCCTACCTCATGCAGTTATCTCTATTTCAGCCCCTTGATTCAGATGGGCCTAAGATCATGAATTTTGTCTTGATTGAATATTGAACCAGCTTCTAGGTAGTTAGCACTTAAGGTAGAACTTAACATTTTAGTCCATTACTCTCTTAATTCCCTGTAGCATAAAATTAGATGATTCAACTTTTTTGGCTCCCAGGCTCCCTCCTCGTTTCTAGCACATGGAGATTTTCATTTTCTAGACTGTGCAAATTAACATTTATGTTGGTTGTACTTTACCTAGTGTCAGCTTTTTCTCCCACTTTGGCAGAGCATCAGGTCTCATGTTATTTTACAACATGGCTTAAAGAGCAAGGATTTTAGTAGGTCTATATCAAAGTTCTTAAGATAACCTTTATATAACAAAGAGTTGTAGAACTTTATTATTTGTATTCAAGAAACTGAACTGGAAATATTTAATTATGGTGCTCAGTAAATGTTGACATATACAGATTTGAGTACAAACTTGAAACATACCTTTGAATTATTTTGACATAGTTCAGGAGATAAAAATTTGAAAACTCATTTTTTTATTAACAAAAGTGTAGATAAGTGTAAAAATATTTTTAAATGTATTTTATTGAAATACAATTTATGTACAGTGAAATACACAAAACTAAAGTGACATGGATCTGTGTTTTTTATTTTTTGCATTGTTCCCTCCCCTCCCCTCCCACCCCGGTAACCAACAAAGAAAGTTTCCTTCCATATATAAACCTTTCCTTGACTTTTTACAGTAATGAACTAATACTGTATTTGTCCTTCCGTGATTGACTTATTTCATTCAGCATAATGTCCTCCAAATTCATCCATGTTATGCGATGTTTTGCAGATTCCACATTGTTCTTTAGTGTGTTGCATAGTATTCCACTATGTGTATGTAACATAGTTTGGTTATTCATTCTTCTGTTGATGGGCATGTAGGTTGTTTCCATCTTTTTGCTATTGTAAATAGTGCTGTGATGAATATTGGTGTGCATATATATCTGTTCTTGTTCTGGCTCTCACTTCTTTAGTATGTTGTTATGTGCCATCGAGTCGGACCCGACTCACAACGACCCGTCCTTGGGTTCCGAGATGGTATTACTACGGAAGCAGATTGCCCTACCTAGTAATGGGATTGCTGGGTCAAATGGTATTTCTAACTCCAGCTTTTTAAGGAATCCCCATCCTGCTTTCCACGGTGGTTGTATCATTTTACAGCTCCACCAGCAGTGTATGAAAGTCCCGGTCTTTCCACATCTTCATCAGCATTTGTTATTTTCTGTCTTGTTAAATATTGCCATTAGTGCTGGAGTGAGATGGTATCTCATTGTTGTTTTGAATTTTGATTTGCATCTCTGATGGCTAATGATTGTGAGCATTTCATCATGTATTTGCTGGTCACTTGAATATCCTCTTTGGTGAAGTGTCTGTTCATGTCTTCTGCCCATTTTTTAATTGGATGTTAATGTTTTTGTTATTGAGGTGTTGGAGTTTTCTGTAAATTTTAGAGATAAGTCCCTTGTCAGATATGTAGTTGCCAAATATTTTTTCCCAATCTGTAGGTTCTCTTTTTACTCTTTTGGAGAAGTCTTTGGAAGCACATAAGAATTTAATTTTTAGAAGGTCCCATTCATCTAGTTTCTTTTCAGCTGTTTGTGCATTTTGGGTAATGCTTGAAAGTCTGTTTATACCATAAATTAAAGCCCCTAAATTGGTGCCTATTTTTCCTTGAGGAACTTTATAGTTTTAGGTTTCACATTTAAGTCTTTGATCCATCTGGATTTAGTTTTCGTGTATGGTGTGAGGTACAGATTTTGTCTCATTTTTTGGCAAATGGATATCCAGGTTTGCCAGCATCATTTGTTAAAGAGACCATTTCTTCTCCATATAATCGATTTCAGCCCTTTGTCAGATATCAGCCAACTATAGGTCAATGGATCTATTTCTGGGTTCTCAGTTCTGTTCCACTGGTTCATGTGTCTGTTGTTGTACCAGTACCAGGCTGTTTTGACTACCGTGGCTATATAGTAGGTTTTGAGATCCAGGAGTGTGAGACCTACTTTGTTTTTCTTCTTCAGTAGTGCTTTGCTTATACTTTCCATATAAAATTAGTGATTGGTTTCTCTATCTCCTTAAAGAATACTGATGGGATCTGGATTGGGGTTGCATTGTATAGATTGCTTTGGGTAGTATTGACATTTTCACCATGTTCAATATTCCTATCCACAAGCATGGTGTGTTCTTCCATTTATGTAGATCTCTCATGGTTTCTTCAAGTAGTGTTTTTATTTATTTATTTTTTAATTGTGCTTTAGGTGCAAGTTTACAGAGCAGAGTTTGTTTTACATTCAACATTTCGTTTCACTCCCCAACTACCATCCCCAACCCTAACCTACTCCCCTCCATTCCTAGTAACCCCCACCCCCACCCCATGCCCCTCAGATTCCTCCATCTGAATGTTGCCCCTATGGTGCCACATGGTCAGTTGCTCCAAAGGATGCATCTCCATAGAGTATGTGGGTGCATCACCCTGGGTTGAGTGGTCTCTGTGAACATCTTAGTTACTATTGGGCTAAGAGCCAGCCCCTGGCAGTGAGTTTTATTCCAGGCCCGCAGTGTATTCCAGGACCATAGTATTGAGGGTCCTACCAGAGTCCATCCTTTTCAAGTAGTGTTTTGTAGTTTTCTTCGTACAAGTCTTTTGTGTCCCTAGTAAGATTGATTCCCAAGTATTTTAATTTTTTGGTATCTACTATAAATAGTATTGATTTCCTTATTTCTTTTTGAGCAATCTCTTTGCTAGTGTAGTGGAATCCAATTGATTTTTGTATGTTGATCTTGTATCTTGCCACTAAGCTAACTCTCTCAGTTAGTTCCAGTAGTTTTTTTGCTGAGTCTCTTGGGTTTTCTAGGTATAGGATCATATCATCAGCAAATAGGGATAGTTTGACTTCTTCCTTCCCAATTTGGATGCTTTTGATTTCCTTTTCTTGCCTTATTGTCCTGGCTAGGACTTCAATACAGTGTTGAATAGAAGTGATGATGGAGGGCATCCTTGTCTGGTTCCTGTTTGCAAGGGGAATGGTTTCAGTCTCTCTCCATTGAGAATAATTTTGGCTGTTGGTTTTGCATATGTGTCCTTTATTATGCTGGGGAATTTTCCTTTTATTCCTGTTTTGGTGAAAGTTTTTATCTGGAATGGGTATTGGATTTTAAGTAAAAATATTTTTTGTTTTTGATATGCTTAACCTGTCATTGCCTTGTAAGTTAAAGGAGAAGGTCACAGTGAGGCCTGTTGTAATGTTTGTGTTCATTTGTGTATTTTTGTCCAGAAAATCAAGTATTTTTTACGTTATTTGAATAAAGCAGGGTATAAGTTTATTATTTAACATTTTAGATCAATGTGGTACATTTTGTTTGAAATATTCTTTGGGATATTTCTGAGAGTTTATAATCACTTTAAAGTTGGACCAGATAAATTTTCCAAATATTGAGGACCTTCTCTTGAGTGTTAACCTTTCATTTGTCTCCGTTCAGATTATTGGCTCTGTTATTGTAACATTAATAATTTGCTTAAATTTACACTATAGTTTTATGACCTAAGTATAGAAGTTGTTTTCTCATTTCAGTTTTTTCCTGCAAACTTGATATTAATGAAAATATTAACAGTTATGCTTTGTTGGATGACTCACTGTTTTAAAACAGTTTATTTGGAAAAAGTAAGGGTGATATTTTTTAGGCAAAATAATTTTTTTATAAAGAAGCTTTCACTGTTTTAACTTTCATAAGCGCTGCACTTTTCTCCCATATATTTTTAGTTTGATAGAGAAAATGTGCGGATTCCAGGAATGCTGATTATTGATACTCCTGGGCATGAGTCTTTCAGGTAAGAACAAATTGAGTCTTTTATCATCAAGCAAACTTTTTTGGGTAGCAATTTGAGATCTTTGTTCTGACAGTCTTCATCTGGACTTGTTGATTTAGTAGTTTTATTTGGCTATTTGTTTTTATTAGAGGGAAGTCTTTCCTAATTTTGAAAGAACACCTCAGTGTGGAATACAGACAAATCTAATACATACCTGGTCTGTCTCCTGTGAAACCCATTACAGGTGGAATATTGCACTTTTGTGTCCTGACCATACTCCTTGGACAGGAAAATTGACAGAAATATGGGAGTAACTTCTGGAACTAACTCATTCCAGTTGATGTCAGCTCACTATGTCTTGTCAAATATGCATAAGCATTTGGCATGTTAAAGGCTTATAACGCTTTAAATATTTAATGCATATACTCTTTGTTTTGATTATAAAAAGAAATTAAAAGTGTCAATTTGAGCAAAAATATTTATTTCAAGGCTTTTTATTTGTACATTTTCTTCCTCTTTTCAACAGTAATCTGAGAAACAGAGGAAGCTCTCTTTGTGATATTGCCATTTTAGTTGTTGATATTATGCATGGTTTGGAGCCTCAGACAATTGAATCTATCAACCTTCTGAAATCTAAAAAATGCCCCTTCATTGTTGCACTCAATAAG